GAGTGTATGGTACAGTGCCAGGAGAGCTGATTGTGGAACGTAGTACTTTATCTTTGATAGTATGCCTACAGTCTTGGAGATTTTCTTGGTGATTTGTTGTATGTGTGTCCGGAACTTAAGGCTACTGTCAAGGTGGATACCTAGGAATTTTCCTTCTGTGAGTCTTGTGACTGATGATCCATTTATTGTTATTATATTATATTATATTATATTATTATTATATTATATGACCTCTAGTCTATTAAACATCTGCCAATCCATGAAATATTACTGCTTTAACCATTAACCCTTTCAGGGTTTCGGCCGTACTAGTATGGCTTACGCACCAGGGTTTTTGACGTACTAGTACGCCTAAATTCTAGCGCCCTCAAATCTAGTGAGAGAAAGCTGGTAGGCCTACATATGAAAGAATGGGTCTATGTGGTCATTGTGCGCAGTATAAAAAAAATCCTGCAGCACACAGTGCGTAATGAGAAAAAAAAACTTTGACCGTGTTTTTGGATTAAAACAGCAACTTTGCACTGTATTTTCGTATGGTATTTATTGTTGTATTCTAGTTTTCCTGGTCTCATTTTATAGAATGGAAGACATATTACAGAAATTAAGATGATTTTGACTGGTCTTACAAAGAAAACTACCTTGAAATTGCACTCAAAAAGCAGAAATGTTTGATTTTTACCAAGGTTCAAAAGTAAATAAATCATGCTATGCGCCCAATACACGTCAACTGGTGAGTCTAATATTCATTCACAAGTGCGCTGATAATATTTATACCATTTCTACACCAATGCATTAGTCTGCATAACAGTAAATCTTCTATTTTTTTTTGTGAGAATAAAAATTCAAAGTGGAAAGCAAAAGAATGTAAGAGGGGCATGGGGACATGACTAATGAACAGAGGAAATGTTATTTTAGTGCCAGGAATGTTTTGTTTATTCTGGACCCTATTCGGAAATTGGCATCTTTTGAAATTTGTGTGAAATTGGCAAAATTGCTAAATTCTGACCACTGTATTGGATAGTTGAAATCGGTAAATGGGTGGTTTCTTGTACTCATTCGATAGAAAAAATGGAGTTCTAGCGAAATAGTTATGATTTTTGTCGACATGTACACTGGAATTGGCCGAAAATAGGGCTCAAAGTGGGCAAAATCGCCGCTATGTAAACATCGTTGAGACCGCTAAATTCGCGAGAGCATAATTTCATAAGTTTTCCATCAAATTTCATACTTTTGGTGTCATTATGATCGGGAAAAGATTCTCTGTCTTTTCATAAGAATTTTTTTTTTTTTTTTGAAATTTGGCCGACCCTGAGAACGATTGTCTGGGAGGGCCTGTCGACCCTGAAAGGGTTAAATGCAATATTGTTTTTATTATGTGCAACTTCAAGATTATTATTCTTATAAACCTCCACCTTGACTACCTTGCATTAGTACAGTGGACCCCTGATTTTTGTCTAGTGCAGAAATCATACAATTCGGATTTCGAGCACTTTTCAGCTAAATTTTCCCCTGGAGTTTCGTACATCCACTCGGAAATCGTCTGTATCAGACATGTCCACCCGTCCGGGACGCTGCTTCTCATGTGTGCCAGACTCTGTCTGTGTCTCTCATTGAGTTAGCAGTACTCCATGCATTCATCCATTGGTTTTTGTGCTTGTTTATTGATTGCGATTGTGAAATAAACCACTGTGAGGCCAAAGAAAGTTCAGAATGCCAGCCCTTTGGTAAAGGTGAGAAACACAATAGCATTCAAGAAAGAACTTGTAGCAAAATATGAAAGTGGCGTACGTTTGGCCGAGCTCGCCAGGATGTATGGGAAGTCGACATCAACAATCAGTTCCATCCTGGCAAAGAAAGCAAAAATTAAGGAAGATGTTGGGAAAGGGGTAAATATGCTGATGAAACAGAGATCACAAACAATCAAGGATGTGGAGAAGTTGCTGTTGGTGTGGATCAATGAAAAAGAATTAGCGGGAGAGAGTGATGCAGAGGGCTTTGATACCTGAAGTCCTTATGGAGGGGGATTCCCCTTCCAAACAATAACGTCTCCTCTCTCTCCCCTCCTCACCTTCTTCCATATGCTGACAAGAGTCTTCAGTAGGGGTATGTAACAGTGAATTAAATGTTCATTTATCCATTAAAATTAGTGCTTTATATTTATTTCTCATTTTTTTTGTATGTAAAATTATAGTTATTCTCTATAAAATGTATTTTTTGTTAATATTTTTTGGTGTCTGAAACGGATTAATTGGATTTACATTATTTCTTATGGGAGATATTACCTCATTTTTCATCCATTTCAGATTTCGGCTGACCTTCTGGAACAGATTAAGGACAAAAACTGGGTTATTACTAAGATTTTAATGAAAGTTAACCACACTTATCTTGTCTAGATTTAAGCAGTTATTATGTACTAGTGAGAGATGTTATCAACAAATTTTGTTGATGAGAAAAAGTTTTGGAGTGAGATTAATGTTGAGGAAGCCTAGGGAATGAATGGCTTTGATAGTTAATAATAGGAGAGGAGAGTTATTAAATGGAGAGTTAGAGGCATTGGGAAGATGGTGGGAATATTTTGAGGAATTGTTAAATGTTGATGAAGATAGGGAAGCTGTGATTTTGAGTATAGGGCAAAGAGGAATAGCATCTTGTAGGAGTGAGGAAGAGCCAGTTTTGAATGTGGGGGAAGTTTGTGAGGTGGTGGGTAGAATGAAAGGGGGTAAGGCAGCAGCGATTGATGGGATAAGGATAAAAATGTTAAAAGCAGGTGAGGATATAGTTTTGGAGTGGTTAGTGCTTTTATTTAATAAATGTATGGAAGAGGGTAAGGTACCTAGGAACTGGCAGAGAGCATGCATAGTTCCTTTGTATAAAGGCATAGGGGACAAAAGAGAGTGCAAAAATTATAGGGGAATAAGGCTGTTGAGTATACCTGGTAAAGTGTATGATAGTTATTGTTGAAAGAGTTAAGAGTAAGACAGAGTAGGATAGTAGATGAACAAGGAGGCTTTAGGAAAGGTAGGGGGTGTGTAGACCAAATGTTTACAGTGAAACACATAGGTGAACAGTATTTATATAAGTGTAAAGAGGTTTTTGTGGCATTTATGGATTTGCAAAAGGTGTATGACAGGGTGGATAGAGGAGCAGTGTGGCAGATATTGCAAATGTATGGAATAGGAGGTAGGTTACTGAAAGCAGTGAAGAGTTTTTATGAGGATAGGCTCAGGTTAGAGTATGCAGGAGAGAGGGAGATTACTTCCCAGTAAATGTAGGCCTTAGACAAGGATGTGTGATGTCACCATGGTTGTTCAATATATTTATAGATGGGGTTGTAAGAGAAGTGAATGCTCGGGTGTTGGCAAGAGTTGTAGGGTTCAAAGATAAAGAATCTAACACAAAGTGGGAGTTGTCACAGTTGCTCTTTGCTGATGACACTGTGCTTTTGGGAGATTCTGAAGAGAAATTGTAGAGGTTGGTGGATGAGTTTAGTAGGGTATGTAAAAGAAGAAAATTAAAAGTGTAAGGTGATGAGGATAAAAAAATTAGGTGACGAAAGACTGGATATCAGATTGGAGGGAGAGAGTATGGAGGTGGTGAATGTATTCAGATACATATTTAGGAGTGGACGTGTCAGCAGATGGGTTTGTCAAAGATGAGGTGAATCATAGAATTGATGAGGGGAAAGAGGTGAGTGGTGCACTTAGCAGTCTGTGGAGACAAAGAACTTTGTCTGTGGAAGCAAAGAGGGGAATGTATGAGAGTATAGTTATACCAACACTCTTATATGGGTGTGAAACATGGATGGTGAATGTTGCAACAAGGAGAAGGCTGGAGGCAGTGGAGATGTCATGTCTGAGAGCAGTGTGTGGTGTGAATATAATGGAGAGAATTCGTAGTTTGGAAATTAGGAGGAGGTGCAGGATTACCAAAATTATTATCCAGAGGGTTGAGGAGGGGTTGTCGAGGTGGTTCAGAGATGTAGAGAGAATGGAACAAAATAGAATGACTTCGAGAGAGTATAAATCTGTAGTTGAGGGAAGGTGGACTAAGGGTTGGCCTAGGAAAGGTTGGAGGGAGGGGGTAAAGGAAGTTTTGTGTGCGAGGAGCTTGGACTTCCAGCAAGCATGCGTAGGCATGTAAGATAGGAGCTGTTGGAGTGTGAGCAAAGTAACATTTATGAATTGAGTCAGGGAAATACAGTGCCTGCACTCTGAAGGAGGGGCGTTAGTGTTACAGTTTTATAACTGTAGTGTAAGAGTGCCACCTTGCCTTGGTGGGAGATGGCCGATGTGTTAATAAAAAAAAAATATGCACAAGGATTAATTTGCCCGAAATGCCCCAGCATGATAGTGGCTTTTTTTGTACTTAGCAAACCAAAATTGTAATTACACATTGTAATCTTTGCAAAGGAATAAAATCTTTATCTTACATTTGCCTGAAATGCTCTGCATGTATAGGGGCTTTCTGCATAAACACCCAAATGTTATTTGCCCTTGTACAAACATTGTATCATGCTGAAATAAAGTATTACTATTAATGCTACTATTATCTTGATTACTATTGTGCAATAATATCAGTTGTGCAGTGGACCCCCGGTTTACGATCAGCTCCCAATGCGACAAATTATGTAAGTGTATTTATGTAAGTGCTTTTGTATGTGTATGTTTGGGGGTCTGAAATCGACTAATCTAATTCACAATATTCCTTATGGGAACAAATTCGGTCAGTACTGGCACCTGAACATACTTCTGGAATGAAATAATATCGTAAACCGGGGGTCCACTGTATATTCCCACAGAAATGTGAATTATAATTAACAACTTCAGTAATTTTTTTTCATAGTAACATTATGCACCTTATTATTATTGTTATTATTATTTTTTTATTAATTATTATTATTATTATTCTTATTGTATTAGAATTTGGTATGTATCTATAACAGACTAAATATATACTTTACTGTATATCTACTACAGTTTTTATAATTTTGTATTCATCAGGTCTCTAGTAGCAGTGATATCAACATAACTAAAATGAAATATATTAACAAGACTATATTAGAAGAACCTTTTCCAGGAGTCATGAAAAAAGATTTTTCAGATAATAGTGTTCAGAAAACTAAGAAAATTGATAACCAACACTGTTCAAATAGTAAAGAACACATCAGATTTGCTAAGCAGACTAATACTTCAGAGGTCAAAAATGCTGAGAAGAGGCTGGGTAATAAAGAAAGGTCTACTGTCAAGAGGTCACTTAAAGGAGGTAATGTTGCTCCTGGTACATGTTGGGAAAAGCTCTTCGCTGCAGTAATTGGAGGCACTAATGAAGAGGAGGAAGATTCCTCATCTACTGAGGTGTGTTTCATTTCATGATAAATAATAAATTTAGAAAGTATTTTTTATAGATATTGTTATACATGTAAAGTAAAAAAGAAGCCTTTTCTCTAATGCAATCCATTATTGCTTTACGTAGTTTGTTCTTCAAGTACAGATAATCTTCTCTTCCAGTATACAATAGTTTATTCTTCAAGTATGGGCAAGTTTCTCTTCCAGTATGCAATAGTCTGTTCTTCAAGAACATGTACAAATAAGTTTATCTTCCAGTATACAATAGTCTGTTCTTCAAGTACAGCTAAGCTTCTTTTCCATTATACAATAGTCTATTCTTCAGGTACAGATAAGTTTCTCTTCCAGTATACAATAATCTGTTCTTTTAGTACAATGGTACTTCAGGATATGAACAGCCCAAAACTCGAACAGTTATGTAAGTGTATTTATGTAAGTGCTTTTGTAAGTGTATTTTTGGGGGTCTGAAATGGATTAATCTAATTTACATCATTCCTTATGGGAACAAATTCGTTTGGTATCAGCACTTGAACAGCCTTCTGGAACGAAATAAATTCGTGTTCCGAGGTACCACTGTGCAGATAAGCTTCTCTTCCAGTATTCAATTGTGTATACTAGTGTCTCGTAGCTTGATTGCTAGTGCACTCGGCTCACACATTGAGGTCCAGGGGTCAATCCCCAGTATGGTTGGAAACATTAGGACGTGTTTCCTTAACCCTTTGAGGGTTTCGGCCGTACTAGTACGGCTTACGACCCAGGGTTTTTGACGTACTAGTACGCCTAAATTCTAGCGCCCTCAAATCAAGTGGGAGAAAGCTGGTAGGCATACATATGAAAAATGGGTGTATGTGGTCAGTGTGCACAGTATAAAAAAAATCCTGCTGAATACAGTGCATAATGAGAAAAAAAAAAAACTTTGACCGTGTTTTTGAAATAAAACAGCAACTTTGCACTGTATTTTCGTATGGTATTTATTGTTGTGTTCTAGTTTTCTTGGTCTCATTTTATAGAATGGAAGACATATTACAGAAATTGAGATGATTTTGAGTGGTTTTACAATGAAAAGTACCTTGAAATTGAGCTCAAAGTAGCAGAAATGTTCGACTTTTACCAAAGTTCAAAAGTAAACAAATCATGCCAAGCGTCCAATACACATCAACTGGTGAGTCTAATATTCTTTCACAAGTGCGCTGATATTATTTATGCCATTTCTACACTAATGCAGTAGTCTGCATAACAGTAAATCTTCTATTTTTTGTAAGAATAAAAATTGAAAGTGGAAAGCCAAAGAAATATAGGAGGGGCCTGGGGATGTGGCTAACGAACAGAGAACTTGTTATTTTAGTGCCAGGAATGTCTTTCTTGTTTATTCTGAACCCTATTTGGAAATTGGCATCTTTTGAAATTTGTGTGAAATTGGCAAAATTGCTAAATTCTGACCACTGTATTGGATTGTTGAAATAAGTAAATGGGTGGTTTCTTGTACTCATTCAAAAGAAGAAATGGAGTTCTAGAGAAATAGTTATGGTTTTTGTCGACTAGTACACAGGAATTGGCCAAAAATAGGGCTCAAAGTGGGCAAAATTGCCGATGCGTAAACATCGTCAAGACTGCTAACTTCGTGAGAGCATAATTCCGTAAGTTTTCCATCAAATTTCATACTTTTGGTGTCATTATAATTGGGAAAAAATTCTCTATCTTTTCATAAGAAATACAGTGGACCCCCGCATAACGATCTGCTCCCAACTCGACCAATTATGCAAGTGTATTTTTGTAAGTGCTTTTGTAGGTGTATTTTTGGGGGTCTGAAATGGACTAATCTAATTCACAATATTTCTTATGGGAACAAATTCGGTCTATAACGGCACCCAAACAGACTTCTGGATTGAAATAATATCGTTATGCAGGGGTCCACTGTAATAATTTTTTTTTTTGGGGGGGGGGGAAATTTGGCCAACCCTGAGAACAAGTCTCGGAGAGGGCCTGTCGACCCTCAAAGGGTTAAGATACCTGCTGTCCATGTTCACCTGTCAGCAAAATGGATAGCTGGGCGTCGACTGGTGTGGGTCGCATCCTGGGACAAAATTGACCTAATTTGCCCACAGTGCTCTGCATAACAAGGAGCATTCTATACAGTAGTATATCATTGATGTCAGCTAGGCCTGTATACCTTGTATATGTACTTGTGGAAATAAAAAATATTATTCTTTCAACAAACCAGCCGTATCTCACCAAGGCAGGGTGGCCCAAAAAAAAAAGGAAGATTTCTTAGTAATAGAGAAGGAGTTACTAGCCTCTTGCTCCCAGCATTTTAGTCGCCCTTTACAACACGCATTCCTCATGGAGGAAGAATTCTGTTCTACTTTCCTGTGGAGATATGAGGAAATGAACAAGACCAAGAACTAGCAAGAAAATGAAAGAAAACTTGTACATGCATGTGTAGTGTGACCTAAGTGCAAGTAGAAGTAGCATGACGTACCTGAAATCTTGCATGTTTATGAGACAGAAAAAAGACACCAACAATCCTACCATTTGTACCAATAGTAACTACCTGGTTGATAAGGCCCTGATCCACCATGAGGCCTGGTCAGAGACCGGGCCACGGGGGCGTTGACCCCCAAAACCCTCCAGGTATAATTATGTAAAACAATTACAGGCTTCCATTTTACATTCACTTGGCAGGACAGTAGTATCTCCCTGGGCAGTTGCTGTCTACCAACCTACTACCTAAGATTATTATTTTTTTTTTAACATTTCGGCCATTTCCCACCAAGGCAGGGTGACCTAAAAAGAAAGAAAAAAAAAATTCACCATCATTCAACACTTTCACCATCACTCATACGTAATCATTGTCTTTGCAGAGGTGCTTAGATATGACAGTTTAGATGTCCCTCCAAACTGCTAATATCCCAAACCCCTACTTTAAAGTACAGTCATTGTACTTCCCACTTCCAGGACTCAAGTCCAGCTAACCGGTTTCCCTGAATCCCTTCAAAAAATATTATCCAGCTCACACTCCAATAGCTCGTCAGGTCCCAAAAACCATTATATAAGTAAGTAAATTTTCTTACATGATTCATTACCTTTGTAACTTGAGTTCATTATCTTTGTGCCTAGTTCAGCTATCAAAACTGGGGGCCCAGTCCCTGGACCTTTGTATCTTGTCATGATTGTGACCAGATCTACCTGGAGTTCATTACCTTTGTAACTTGCTCTGCTATCAAAACTTTGGGAGCCAGTCCCTGGACCCATTATGTACCTCTGTAATCTTCTGTCTACTGCCCACAGGATAGATATGGGGTCAAAATAAACATATTAGACTAACTCACGCACGCTTGCTGGAAGTCCAAGCCCCTCACCCACAAAACCTCTTTTACCCCTTTCCTCCAACCTTTTTTGAGGACAACCCCCTACCCTATCTTCCTTTCCCCACAGATTTATATGCTCTCCAAGTCATTCTACTTTGTTCCATTCTCTCTAAATGACCAAACTATCTCAACAACCCCTCTTCAGCCCTCCGACTAATACTTTTAGTATACTTAGAGAGGGTTTTGGGGGTCAGTGCCCCCGTGGCCCGGTCTGTGACCAGGCCTCATGGTAGATCAGTGCCTGATCAACCAGGCTGTTACTGTTGGTCACATGCAACCTGACGTATGACCCACAGCCCGGGTGGTCAGGTACTGACTTTAGGTGCCTGTCCAGTGCCTTCTTGAAGACAACCAGGGGTCTATTGGCAATCCCCCTTATGTATGCTGGGAAGCATTTGAACAATCTTGGACCCCTGACACTTATTGTGTTCTCTCTTATCGTGCTAGTGGCACTCTTGTTTTTTATTGGGGGGATGTTGCATCTCGTGCGGAGTCTTTTGCTTTGATTGGGAGTGATTTTTGTGTGCAAGTTTGGTACTAATCCCTCTAGCATTTTCCAAGTGTATATAATCGTGTATCTCTCACACCTGCTTTCTAGGGAGTACAGGTTAAGGAACTTCAAGTGTTCCCAGTAATTGAGGTGTTTTATCGCAGTTATGTGTGCCGTGAAGGTTCTCTGTAAATTTTCTAGATCAGCAATTTCACCTGCCTTGAAAAGGTGCTGTTAGTGTGCACAATATTCCAGCATAGATAGAAAAGTGATCTGAAGAGTGTCATCATGGGCTTGGCATCCCTAGTTTTGAAGGTTTCCATCTTGTCATTTTTCTAGCAGATGTGATTGATACATCCCTGTTTATGTCATATACTGTCCTGGGACTCCAATAGCAATAGTGAGGATAAATTACCAAAAACAACTGGTGGGAGCTCCATTGTTGGTGCTAGGGAGGATAGAAGTAAGACAGGGAAACATGCACCAACAGGGAATACAGTCACAGAAACCCAAGGCAAGCGGAAACCAAGCCTATGCACATACTATGCACTTGGTATCTGCTGGCATGGGAAATCTGGAAAAACAGATGGGACATGCAACTATGACCACCCTAGAAAATGCCATGCCCATATGACAACAGGAAAATGCAAACTCCCTTCATGTAAGCTTTTTCACCCGAAATGGTACCTCTTCAGTACAGGAAAGACTGTGCTATAACTTAAATTGCCAGGCAACCATCTAAAGGGGACAAAAAGATACAAAACATCCAGGCCATGGGAAAACCTGGGTAGCCACAGCCACTCAAGAGGGAGAGGTTTTTAGTGCCAGGAAGGAAAAAAACTGGCAGGAAATGGCAGAAATCGTACACCAAATCCATCATTCCTGGAGTGGAACCACAGTCGATGGCCTCCACTCCAAACCAACAGATACAGAACTAAAGCCCCGAAAAAAAAACCCCCCCCCAGTACCAAC